GGGTGGGTGGGTGGATAGGAGGGGGTTGGGGAGGTGGATAGGAGAGGGAGTGGGGGGTGGATGGATGGATAGATGGACTGATGGATGGGAAGAATGGACACCTGCATTGGGTGAGGGAATTGGCAGCGCTTACTGACATATTGGACTCAGGTGGTGATGAGGGTGTGGCAGCACGAATGATTGCCACCTTGAGCTATCAGGGGTGATGGTGCCAGTAACCAAGATGGGGAAGAGCAAATTGGACAGGTAGGGAAATTGCTTCCAGTCTTTGTGGCCCTCCCTCCCCTGGGGACATTTTGCAAAGTCTGGGGAGAGCTGGCATTATCATTTCTCATCCCGTTAGTCCCCCTGGACCCTTAAATGTCTTCTTCCTTGAGTAGGTCAGTGGCCCATAGGGTGTGGCTCTCCTATGCGTCTTTCTGGCCTCACCCTGGTTCCATCTGATTTGCAATTTCAGAGATTCCAGATTCGCAGGTGGGGCAGGCGGCCTCCTGCATGACTGCATGCGCAGGTGAGTGATTCTCTTGGGATGGCTGAGCACACCTCTGGACCAGAAGCCTGAGCCCAGTACAGGTCCCAAGGGTGAAGCTGTCAGATGGGATCACAGGCAGCCCCAGAGGGCCCTGCCTATATTCCCAAAGATACCAGTTGGGAGGACCAAGTCTAGTTCTGGAAAGGCCACCCACAGACTTAAACGATAGGAAAGCGCAGAGTAAAATGCCTTAAGCCATCCCAGCCCCCAAGGCCCGGGACTTTTTCCTCATACCTGTGGGCCGCAGGTGGAATAAATGTCTTTGGCCAGGTGATGCCATTTGCATTTTGGAGTGGAGCAGATGAAAAAGCCTTTTGGGAAGAAATTCTTGGGAAAGAGAGAAGCACCTTAGGAATATGAGGTGTGGTTCTGTCTCAAAGAAATTGACATGAGAATGTAAATTCAATCACAAGCCTTAGGGAGGGGTGAGGTGTCATAATTAGGTTTCACACTTGATCCCCTGGCCACAATAGAAGCTTAGAGATTTGGCTCGAGAACTACAGACCTCTCTGTTCCCTAAATCAGCTCTTCCCCAGAGCAGCTACTCTCCTCACCCCGAGATCCCCCAAGGTTGGCCAGCTTTACAGCTTTGTCTTCTGTGGAGATCAGGATAACAGTCCCCCAACGCCACTTGATGTCCTTCAAGGTGATGGGTGAGGAGTCGGACTGTCGAGGGTGGAATCCCAGCTGTGTAACCTTGTGTAAGTCCGTTAATCTGAGCCTCAGTTTCTTCTCCTCAGAAGAAACTTGATATCCATCAAGGTGGTAGGTGAGGAGTCGGACTGTCGAGGGTGGAATCCCAGCTGTGTGACCTTGTGTAAGTTAGTTAATGTCTCTGAGCCTTAGCTGCTTCTACTGTAAGATAGAGAAAATAGTGTTCACCTCAAAGTTGGTTATGAGGCTTAAATGAGTTACTGTAGATGAATGCTTCTCGGCTGGGGTAATTGTGTCCCTCCCTCCCCTGGGGACGTTTTGCAAAGTCTAGGGACATTTTTGGTTGTCGCAACTGGGCCCTGTTACTGGCATCTCATCAGTAGAGGTCAGGGATGCTGTTAAATTTCCTGACAACACACAGGACAGCCCTCACAAACAGAATTCTCTGACCCCAAATGTTAATAGTGCCCAGGCCAAGAAACCTTGACATGAGAAGAAGGCTTAGCCCATGATGACCCTGGCTAGCACTTTTACTGTCTTTATTTTCTTTTTCACCTTTATGAGGGTATGCAGCTATTCAACCTTTCCCCAAGCTGGGGACAGGAAGCTCAGAGCCCCAGATGGAGGGGAAGATAGAGGTGTAAGCAAGGATGCTTGGAGGTGGAGTTGGGGGTCCCAGATGGCTGCAGATTGTCAAGGTGACATTACTCTCTGTCTCTGCCCTCCAGGGTCAGCTGGTCCCCACCTCCATGTGGGGACCAGATACACCTATCGCTTTTCCACCAACACCAGCACCAGCCTGCAGGAGGTCCCGGTGGAGGGGAGTGGCCTTGGCCTCCAAGGCTTGGCTGTCCTTGATGTGCTTGGCCCATGCCAGATGGCTTTACGGGTGAGTATCTTTCGGTAACTGGGAGATCACCTTGACACTGGGGAGGACCCAGAGGAAGCCACAGCCCCTCACCTCCAATTTCCAATTTGCTTGATAAGCAGAGGAACTTTCTGAGAAATCTTACATTTGGCAAGTGAGGACCCTGGAGAAGAACGTGGAAAAGTGGTGCCATTTTGGTTGTAAGACGTGCCATAGAGGGCCCACTGGGGGAATAGCAGAGGCTAAGGAAGGTATATTTTTAGGGCAGGTTGGGGGAAGTCCTTGGAGTGAGAAGAGCCATAGAATGAGGACATACTGTGACCTAGGGGTGGACCGAGAGCCACATCTGAAGGTCTAAGGGTAAGCAAAGTCAAACTGAGTCAAGGCCTTTGGACAATGGAATAGACTGGGTGGAAGTCTATTTCCAGGAAGGCCTGCCCTGGCCTGTTTTCTGCTAGACACTGGCCTGGCAGTACCTGGGTCCACAGGCTCGGGTTAAAGGCAAACACTGAGGTGCAGTGGTGGTAGGTCCTGGGTTAAGGCAGAATCATACACTAGGCCTACTTGGTGGTTCCAGGTTTGTTTTCATTAAGATTTTCTGGAAGCTCCTCAATGTTTTTGCAAGTGGAAGTGCTTGCCCATTTGCCTCTGTCCCATTTCTCATAACCCTTATATTTTTTCCTGGATAAACCCTCTCACCCCCGATAAGTGGCCTTTTAGTTTCTGCTGGAGTCTCATCTTGTATTGTGATGCGTTTTTGTATTGGCTGGAGCGCTTGCTAACAAGAGTTTCTCAAAATTGTTGTTGCATTTTCACGTAGACCACAGAATGGGGTCTTTCGTGGAGTGGCCCTGAGCTGCTTCTGAATGCTTAAAGTGTCCAAAATGTCAGAACTGCTGCTTTATTAGTCTTTGCCATCCTTTTACATCGTTCAAAACACTTGTAGGTGTTTTTATCTGCAGGGCCAGTTCTTACAAAGCAAATTGTGCTCTGTTGCAGTTTTATTCATTTGTTTGCTTTAAGCATTTAAGAAAAGTTACCAATGTCAAATGTTGGCAAGGGTATAAAGAACTGGTGTGTTTCAAAGATTCTAGATGAAAAGTTTCTGGCCCATTTGGAGGTTAATTAACTAAACATATTTTTAGAGCAAAAAGTGTAAAAATCACAAATCTTCAAAACAAGGAATTTCCATAAACCAAATATCTACATAGTGATCACCAGAGGAGGAAACAAAATAGAACCCCCAGAGCCTCCTTCATACTTCTTCTTGGTCACTTCTCCCAAAGGTACAGCTTCTTTTTTTTTTTTTTGAGATGGAGTCTCACTCTGTTGCCCAGGCTAGAGTGCGGTGGCACAAGCTCAGCTCACTGCAACCTCTGCCTCCCTAGTTCCGGCGATTTTCCTGCATCGGCCTCCCGAGTAGCTGGAATTACAGGTGCGCACCACCATGTCCAGCTAATTTTTGTACCTTTAGTAGAGACAGGGTTTTACCATGTTGGCCAAGCCGGTCTTGAACTTCTGGCCTCAAGTGATCTGCCTGCCTTGGCCTCCCAAAGTGCTGGGATTACAAGCGTGAGCCACTGCGCCTAGCCTGCGTGCCTTATTTCTATCACCGTACTTGAGTTTTGCCTGTCTTTGAACTTCTCTCTGATGGAATTGTACAGGATGCTTTCCTCTGTGTCTGGCTTATCTGTATTTGTATTTTTTTCCTGTGATTATAATATGGAATACACCATTTCAACATCTTAAGTGTATAATTCAGTGACATTAAGTATTTTCACAGTGTTGGACAACCATCACCACCTTCATCCCTAGAACTTTTTCAACGTCCTAAATAGCTCTGTACGCACTGATGGCGGCTTCCCATTCCCTCCCTGCAGACCCTGGGCACCTCTATTCTGCTTTCCGTCTCTATGAACTTGCCTGTTTTTTAGGTACCTCATAGAAGTAGGATCACATAACATGTGACTGTGTCTGGCTTATTTTACTTAGCATAACGTTTTCAAGGCTCATCTACATTGTGGCATGTAGCAGAACTTCATTCCATTTTTTTTAAAAAATGTTTTTTTTATTAAAAAAAAAAAAAAAAAAAAACAGAGATGGGGTTCCACCATGTTGGCCAGGCTTGTCTCGAATCCCTGACCTCAAGTGATCTGCCTGCCCCGGCCTCCCAAAGTGCTGGGATTAAAAGTATGAGCCACTGTGCCCAGCCAAAATCTCTTAATTTTTTTTTTTTTTTTTTGGGGACAGAGTCTTGATCTGTCACCCAGGCTGGAGTGCAGTGGCTCAATCTTGGCTCACTGTACCCACCACCTACCTGGGTCAAGAAATTCTCCTGCCTCAGCCTCCCAAGTAGTTGGGATTACAGGTGCCTGCGACCATGCCCAACTAATTTTTGTGTTTTTAGTAGAGACGGGGTTTTGCCATGTTGATCAGGCTGGTCTCAAACTCCTGAGCTCAAGTAACCCACCCGCCTCAGCCTCCCAAAGTGCTGGGATTACAGGCATGAGCCACTGTGACTGGCTGTATTAAATTTAAACAGTGAAATCAGTTCTTTTAGGGAGGATATTTTGCATTTTTAGGAAGTCTACCTTTTGCAACCAACACACACACACCCGCTCACCCACCCACCCACCCTTTGGTGATGCTGGGATATCCAAGTCTTCGTTACGGGCTAAGCCTTTGTTTGCTCTACAACGGAACATATTCCTGTTGCTACTGTAGAGTCCTATGACTCCCTCAACCAAACTGCCAGTGTCTTTTTGGGCAGAATGAGAACTTTCCAGACATTTAGCAGGCAGCTGTAGGTACTTAGCTGTGTCAGTGATCTACCCCTGGAGACATTCAGCCTTCACCACCCAGGCTTCGTACCTGGTCCAGGGAGGGGTCTCTCTGCCTTGCCCCCAACATGGGTTCACGTATCCTGCTGGGCCCTTGACCTGCTTTGTGGGTGGGGTGCTGGCGAGATCGTGGGGTATGCCGGGAGTGGTCACCAACTCACCGTGCTTTCTGCTTCAGCTCCGAGACTTCCAGGTGACATCCATCCGGGGGTCCAAGGTGGAGCTTCTGAAGGAGTCAGAGAGGCTGAGGTAAGACACTTGGCCATGGGGCCGGGACCTGCTCATGATGGGGCTGGAGGTGTGAGCTCTCTACCATCTTTCAACAGCTGTCGAGCTCTGGGTGCACTGAATTACATTAGGACAAACAGTTAGGGTGACCCCTCTGTAGCAAAGAGATGCCATCGTGGACTGAAGTTCACAGAAGTTTCTGTATTTGTTTTGACTTTGTCAAGCACCAATGGAGACCGCTGTGGGGGTGGGTGCCTTCATGTAGGAGCCTTGGGTGACCCCACCAGGTGTCTTACCTGGTGGGAGGAACGCATCCTGTAGTTCTGGCTGTCCCCCCAAGCGTGTCCAGGGTTCACGCCTGTCAATCACCGCCTGGGCATCGTTGTTGAGGTTGTTCTGGAAGACTCCAGCTCATGGGACTGCTGGGCCGGTGGAGGTCTCTCTCTTCCCTCCCCCGCTCTGCCGAGACCCCATCCTCTCCCACCCCAAGCTAAGCTCCCCTTTTGTGACCCAGCCAAGCCTGGGATTCTCCCTGTGGCTTGTTTCCCAGGCCTCCCTGACAGTGGCCTTGGTGGCCTCAAAGCTCAGAGGGGCCGCCAGTCTGAAGACAACTCCTCTGCAGACTGCTCTTCCATTTTTATTGCGAATTCATTTGTTAAGAAATAAAGCCTTTGTCTAGGGATACCAGGATGGGGGATGCTGCTGAGGGACAGACAGATCCCCACTGAAAGGCAAGGGGAGGATCTCCTCCAAGGGACTATTGTCCCCCAGCTCCTCATCAGAAATGCTAAGTCAGCGGGGCCGGGGGTTGTCACTTCCTTGAGGCCAGACTGACACTTGCTATTCTGGGAGTGGTGGGTGCCATTAGCATTTCTCTCCATCAAGGCCTGAGACCCGGGGGACTGCCTTAAGACCCCCAGGCTCTAGTTGGAGCTGGAGCGTGACTGCCGCCCCCCGTCGCCCCTCCTTCAGAAGTAGACGTGGTGACGCATCTGTTCCCCAGGGCTCTGTCTTGCCAGCCTGTAGGGTTTGGGGACTCGGCAGCTTCCCGTCATCTTGGAGCATCTTTGTCTTGCCCCTCCAAGCTCCAGGCAGGGAAGAGGATTTCACCACCCCTCACCCCCCACCTTCCCATCCTTCACCCTGCAGATAACAGACCCAGGCCCCTTTCTGCCAGGCAAAGGGCGGGCGGGAAGAGCATCGAGCTGAATTCTGGTCCTAGCTCCTCCCCTGGCTTGCTGTGTGACATCCCCCAAGAAGGCCCCTGTCTCGGGACTTCATTTCGTTGTCTCAGCAATGACAGAGTCTCAAGTCCCTTCCAGTTCAGGGTTTCTGCGGCCTGTGACGCAGGAGCCTGCCTGGGTTCACAGCCCGGCTGGGGCCCTGAGCTAGACGCTGTTGCTCTGAGCCTGCTTCCTCATCCGAATGTGGGTGGAGGGATGACAATGACCTCCCTGGTGGGATCTGTAGGGAGGGAACGACTCTCGTTACCTACCTATGTTCTGTAGTTGTGCCTAGAAATGAACCGACATTAGAAGAGGTAGATAGATTTTTTACACGCACAGAGACATTCCAGAATGAAAGAGTGAAGGCCCCCCAAAGTGGTGAATTTGGGAGCTTATGTACAATTTTCATGGGGGAAGGGGAGGAGGGAGGGAGGCAAGTTAGAGAGGAGTAGATGGTTTCTGGAAAACAGGAGTGGACCTTTAGGAGAAGAGGTAGGAGAGCCTGGGCGCGGTGGCTCATGCCTGTAATCCAGCACTGTGGGAGGCCGAGGAGGGTGGATATGAGGTCAAGAAATCAAGACCATCCTGGCCAACATGTGAAACACTGTCTCTACTAAAAATAAAAAAAATAGCTGGGCGTGGTGGCAGGCACCTGCAGTCCCAGCTACTCGGTAGGCTGAGGCAGGAGAATTGGTTGAACCTGGGAGGCAGAGGTTGCAGTGAGCTGAGATCACACCATTGCATTCCAGCCTGGAGACAGAGGGAGATTCCATCTCAAAAATAAAATTATATTAAAAGAAGAGACAGAAGATGCGCAAGCGTGGGATGAAGTTTGTCTGGGTGTGGTGTCACCTTGCAGTTTTTAGAATGAGAGCTGCTCTCCCAGGTGATGAAACTCCCTGGAGAGGATTAATGACAATTAGGTTGCTTTTGGGGGATCTGTCTTAAGGCAGAAGAAGGGGAGTTCAGAAAGTGTCTCCCCATATTTGCTGTTTCTCAACAAATACAGCCTTTAGTTCAAAGTAGACAGAAGGCTGGGTGTGGCGGCTTACGCCTATAATCAGTGCTGTGGGGAGACTGAGGCTAGAAGTTTGCTTGAGCCCAGGAGCTTGACATCAGCCTGGGCAACATAGCAGAAACCTGTCTTTACAAAAACTTTAAAAATTAGCTGGGCGTGGCGGCCACATGGCAGTGGTCCCAACTACTCAGGAGGCTGAGGCAGAAGGATCGTGTAAGGCCACATGGTTGAGGCTGCCGTGAGCTATGATCACGCCACCGTACTCCAGCCTGGGCAGTAGAGCGAGACTCTGTGCACACACACACACACACACACAAAAAAGTCAGTACACCCAGGTGGCATAATTTGGGGTGGCACATCCCAAGCGCCTTCAACTCCTTCTTGGGGTTGAGATGCTTTGGAATGATTGCCTAATCTTGGGGGCTCAGCCTTTCATTCTTTGACACTTGTCTCACACACCTGTCCTTTTGTCCCAAGTGTGACAAGGCTGGGGTGGCTCAGAGCCGACTTGGCTGCCCCAGAGCCCCGCTGCAGAGGGAAGAAGAGGGGGAATGTGGGGTTCCCCATGTGGGTTCTCCAGGTGCTCCACATGGGGGCTGGCCTGCAGGAGGACAGGCATGCTGTGGCCTCTGGCAGTCAGCAGGTGACCTGGGGCGTCGGAGGGTCCCGCTTGACCCCTGTCTGCCCTCTTGCAGCACTGCCCTGGGCCGTAACCCGCTCCGCTTCATCCTGCATTCTGGACGTGTGGCCCGCCTGTGTCCCCGCCCCGCTGAGCCTCGCTGGGTGCTGAACATGAAGCGTGCCGTGCTGAGCCTCCTGCAGGGCAATGCGGGGGCCTGCAGCCCCAAGACCCTGGATGAAGTGAGGCCAGGAGATGGGAAAGGGAGGGGAGTGAGGGTGGGGTGGACAGAAGGCCGACCTGTCCCTCACCGTGTCTGTCCAGGTGGACATCCTGGGCCGATGTCCTACCACATACCAGTGCCGTGGGGACTGGCTGCACAAGACCAAGGACCTGGCTCGGTGCTCCCTGCACAGGGGACGGCCCTCACTGCATTCTCAGGCCCTGCCTGGAGTGGCCGTAAGTGCTGGGCGGGGTGGGGCAGGACCCGACAGCTGCTTTCCTAGACCCTCCTCTTCCTCCTTTTTTCTTCCGTTTCTGGCGTCCCTCCTCAGCTCCCCCTCCTCGACCCCAATTCCTTCTCTTCTTGGTCCTTTCTTTACCTCCTCTTCTCCCTTCCCCTTCCTTCCCCTCTTCTCCTGCCTCCTAGAAATGTTACTGTATGTGTGTGTGGATGTATGCATCTGCTTCCTGAGAGACAGAGTCCCACCCTGTCAACCTGTCTGGAGTGCAGTGGTGTGATCGTGGCTCAGTGCAGCCTTCAACTCCTGGCCTCAAGCGATCCTCCTGTCTCAGCCTCTTGGGTAGCTGGAACTACAGGCACAAGCACCACTCCTGGCTAATGTTTTAATTTTTATTTTTGGTAGAGAGGGTGTCTTGCTATGTTGCCCAGGCTGATCTTGAACTCCTGAGCTCAAGCGATCCTGCTGCCTTGGCTTCCTCCAGGACTGCAGCTGTGGGAGTGACCCCCACACCCACCCCTCTGTCATTCCCCTAATGCCTTCCTCCCCACTCTGTCTCTAGCTCCCTGAAGAAGCAAGTGCTTTGTAAATAGCAAACATCTATCTGCAGAAGGATGAGAGAGGATTCCTGTTCATGTTGAGTCATTATGAAAAGTCTCAGCATCTGAGAAGTGGAGGTGGGCCTCTGCTGATGCGAATGTTTTCCAGCTGAGGCTCTGTCGTCCCCCTCTTGCGGGTCACTGTCTGCTGGACTTTCTTGCTTCCCCTCGTCCTTGTCACCTCCTGTCTGCCTTTGTCTGGGCCGCTGTTGGTGCAAGTCGGGGTGGGTGACACTGGGATGCAGCCCTGAGCGTCTCCTCCCCAGCCTCACTGAGAGAGGGGTGGGGGCCTGCAGTTCTGATGCGGCCCTCAGCCCTCCTCCCTTGGTCCCAGTTGGGTCCTGTGGGTGGCTAGATCCTGGCCTGAGCTGTCTGTTCTCCTCTTGATCTGCAGCCTGGCCTGGCCTCCCGTCTGACCTGTGTCCAGAGCTTCCGGGCTGGCGTGCTGCGGGAGGCCTCCTGCACAGAGCTGGACACCGCAGGGCCGCTGTCCGTGAAGGCGAGCGCTGTGCAGATTCGAACTCTCTCCTCACTCAGCCTGCTGCACGAGAAGGCCCGAGATCCAGCGGGCACAGGTGACCTCAGGTTTCCCTAGTGGCTACCCCCTGGCCATGGTATGAGGGTGGTCTGGCCACAGGGGCCCAAGGAGGTCCAGGCTCCGTCCCTCTATCCTGGCCTGGATGCCTCTGAGCCATTTCTGAAAATGATCGTCATCAGGAGAGTTAGCCACTTCTAGAAGCTTCTGCAGGCTCTTTCTGCAGGCTCAGATCAAATGGCTCTGACTTGGTAGAGTCCTTTTTCCCCGTGGAGTCTTTGGTTTCTCAACCCTAAATTCAGTGACTTCTCAGTTTGCTCGTTTCAGGGGCAAACTGACTCAGGTTTTCTGATTGTCCGGAAATTTCCTGCCAACACATAGCATTCCCTGAGACTTGGTGCCCTTCTACAATTTTGCTTGGAAAGAAACAAGCGAGGCCTGTGTCTGGGGGAGGATTTCTTTTCCGTGTTTGGAAACTGCCTTCCTTAATAATGAAATAAGAATGGTTATTCTTACTGCTGGGATTTTTGGAAGGATTTACTATGGGCCAGTGGCCATGCTGAGCCCTCTGTGTATTTCATTCTCATCAAAACCCCATTAGGAAGGTATTGTTACTAGTTAAATTTAAAGAGGAATTCTGTCCAGGTGCAGAGGCTCACGCCTATAATTCCAGCACTTTGGGAAGCTGAGTTGGGTGGATAACTTAAGATCAGGGGTTCAAGGCTAGCTTGGCCAACATGGCAAAACCCCATCTCTACTAAAAATGCAAAAATTAGCCACGCATGGATGTGGGTGCCTGTATTTCCATTTACAGGTATTGATCGACTTACCACCTTTGCAATTTACGACCATTTGACTTTACGACCACAATCGCTAGCCACGACTGCTCCGCGTCTGGCAGCACAAACGTTGCCCAGCTGGGCGTACGACAGTGCGGACCAGCTTCCGGCAGCACTACCATCTCCGCGTGCACCATTTCTACTGTACATATAGCCTACTCAACTTACGACCAAATCGTGTTACGACCGGTCCACGGTCCCGACCGTGGTCGTAAGTCGAGCACTAGCTCGGGAGGCTGAAGCAGGAGAATCGCTTGAATCCAGGAAGCAGAGGTTGCAGTGAGCCAAGATCACACCACTGAACTCCAGCCTGGGCCATAGAGTAGACACCATCTCAAAAAATACATTAAAAATTTTTTTATTTATTATTTTTTTTTTTTTGGAGGCACAATTTTGTTCTGTTGCCCAGGGAGGAGTGCAGTGGTCTGATTATGGCTCACTGCAGCCTCAACCTCCCCAGGCTCACGTGATCCTCCTACTTCAGCCCCCCCAAGTAACTGGGACCACAGGTGCACAGCACCATGCCTGCCTAATTGTGTATTTATTTGTTTATTTATTTTGAGAGATGGCATTTCACTGTGTTGCCCGGGCTGGTCTCAAACTCCTGGGCTCAAATAATCCTTCCGCCTCGGCCTCCTGAAGTGCTGGGATTACAGGCGTGAGCCACCGCGTCTGGCCCTTTTGTTGTTGTTGTTACTGTCACTATTATTTCGAGATGAAGTCTGGCTCTGTCACCCAGGCTGGAGTGCAGTGGCTTGAGCTCAGCTCACTGTAACCTCCTCCTCCTGGGTGCAAGTGATGCTCCTGCCTCAGCCTCCTGAGTAGCTAGGATTACAGGCAAGCGCCAGCACACCCAGCTAATTTTGTATTTTTAGTAGTGACGGTGTTTCACCACCAGGCTGGTCTCTAACTCCTGACCTCAGGTGACCTGCCTGCGTCAGCCTCCCAAAGTGCTGGGATTACAGACATGAGCCACTGTGCCCAGCCTTCAACTTTTTTCTTTTTCCATGTTTACAGAAAACATCAATTAAGAGACAGTCTAGCTGTGTCACCCAGGCTGGAATGCAATGGTGCCTTGACCTCCTGGGCTTAAAGGATTCCTCCGGCCTCAGCCTCCCCAGTACACCTGTGCGCCACCATGCCTGGCTAATTTATTAAATTTTTTGTAGAAACGGGTCTTGCTATGTTGCCCAGGCTGGTCTCAGACTCCTGGCTTCAAGTGATCTTCCCGCTGCAGCCTCCCAAAGTGCTGGGATCACAGGTGTGAGCCACTGTGCTCCACCTTAATCAGCTTCCGAACATGTCATCACCCTTGTGTCATTAACCATCATCTCCCCAGACCCTGGCAGCCACTGAACTACTTGTGCCTCTAAGAATTTTCCCATTGTGGAATTTCATATAAATGGGGTCATAAAGTGTGCCCTTTTGTGCCTGACTTCTTCACTCAGTACAGTGTTTAAGGTTCATCCATGTTGTGGCATGAATTGGAATTTCTTTTTCCTTGCTGAATAATATTCCATTGTATGGATGAATTTTTTTCCATGTTTCCATTGTCATTCCCAGGAAGCTTATGGAGTCAGAACTGGATTCAGGTTCTGACTCTGTGTTGTGTGACTTGGGCTGATAGCGTCTCTCTGTGCCTCAGTTTCCTTAGCTGTAAATATATGGGTAGGTCACCGCTTACCCCATAGGTTATGGGGTAAGTTATAGAAAATGGTCAGCTGGACACTGTGGCTCCAGCCTGTAATGCTAGTTCCTTGGGAGGCCAAGGCGAGCAGATTGCTTGAGCCCAGGAGTTCAAGTCTGACAACATGGTGAAGCCCCATCACTATGAAAAATATAAAAAATGAGCCGGGCACGGTGGTGTGGGTCTGTAATCCCAGCTGCTTGAGGGCCTGAAGTGGGAGGATCACCCAAGCCCAGGAGGTCAAGGCTGCAGTGAGCTGTGATTGTGTGACTGTTCCAGCCTAGGTGACAGAGTGAGACCCCTTCTGAAAACAAAAGGAAAAGAAAGAAAATTGTCATTGCCTTTAAGCACCTGGCACATGGCCTTTGTGAGCACTAGTTTACATCCTCCTGGCCCCATTCTTTAGGGCCCGATCCCAAAGGCACACTTGGAAATGAGCCTTTATCCCTCCTTGAAATTCTGCGCTGGGCTCAGGTGGCCCTGGCTTGGCCCTGTCCTTCTCCCCGGGTAATTGTTCTAGGGTTAGAGTCGTCTGGTTCGCAGCTGTTGTGGGAAAATTCTCTCCAGGCCTGCAGATCCTTGGCAGGTCATCAGGAGTGTTTTTTTTTTTTTTTTTTTTTTTTTTTTTTTTTTTTTTTTTTTTTTTTTTTTTTTTTTTTTTTTTTTTTTTTTTTTTTTTTTTTTTTTGAGATGGAGTTTCCCCCTTGTTGCCCAGGCTGGAGTGCAGTGCCGTGATCTGAGCTCACCACAACCTCCGCCTCCCAGGTTCAAGTGATTATTCCTGCCTCAGCCTCTGGAGTAGCTGAGATTACACGTGTGTGCCACCACACCCAGCTAATGTTGTATTTTTACCAGAGACAGAGTTTCTCCGTGTTGGCCATGCTGGTCTCGAACTTCTGACCTCAGGTGATCTGCCCACCTCAGCCTCCCAATGTGCTGGGATTATAGGCGTGGGCCACCACTCCCGGCCCAGGAGTGTTTTCATTCATGCTTGTCTGAGCACCTGTTATGTGCTGAGCACTGCCAGGGCTCTGGGGACAGGGCTGTGATCATGGTCAACTCCATCCTTGTCACCCTGAGGCTGCCACCCGCCTGGGAGGGGGAAGCTGCAGATGGAGAAAAACCCAGTCAAGGTGGCTGGAGACAGTGATCATGTCAGAAAAGAAATTAAACAGCCTCACGAAAGCCAGTGACTTAGACGGGGGCCAAGCGGGCCTCTCTGAGGACGTAATGATTTTGCTGAAGCATAAGACAAGCTCAGCTTTGGGAAGATGCAGGAAAGAGCATTCAGGGAGGAAATGGGAAGTGCAAAGGCCCTGGGGCAGGAATGACCTTTATGTGTCCCAGGCTCCCCTGGGGCTAAGGAGAGGTCTGGAATAGATGGGTGGATGTGTACACCTGTGTGAAGCTAGACACACTGTAAGGGTGAGTGCTCAGGCCTGCAGGCAGCCAGGTGGGATCGCACAGCATCTAGAGGGCACACGCCTCTGCCGAGCAGCATGGAAGCTGAGGGAAGTGTAGATTGCAGATTTGAGAGTAGGTCTTTGTCTGGGGTGTGGGGGTCCAAGCAGGGCTCAGGAAAGTTTAACACCACAGGTGTGTGCAGAGCAGAGGGCAGTTTCTGCCATCACCCATCTTTCCTAGGAAGCAGCCACAGGACTGAAGGCATGAGAAAGATTAAGACTTTTTTGACAAGGTGACATGTGACATGATACAAAAGGACACATGCGTACCCACCCTCTCCAGAGGCTGCCACCATTCTTGGCTTCTAGTATATTTTCCAGACAAATCCTGTGTACTTACAGATACATTGGTGACTGTGTCTTTTTGGGTTGTCTGGCTTTTACATTTTAAGTTTTTTTGAGACAGCCTCACTTTCGTTGCCCAGGCTGGAGTGCAGTGGTATGATCTCGGCTCACTTTAACCTCCACCTCCCAGGTTCAAGCAGTTCTCCTGCCTCAGCCTCTGTGTAGCTGGGATGACAGCCATGTGCCACCACACCTGGCTAATTTTTTCTATTTTTAGTAGAGATGGGTTTCACCATGCTGGCCAGGCTGGTCTTGAACTCTTGACGTCAGGTGATGCACCCACCTTGGCCTCCCAAAGTGCTGGGATTACAGGTGTGAGACCCTGTGCCCGGCAGAGAGTAGTCTGTTTCTATTTTACTTTTTTGAGGTGGAGTTTCGCTCTTGTTGCCCAAGCTGGAGTGCAATGCAATTCACCCGCTTCAGCCTCCTGTGTACTTGGATTACAGGCATGCGCCACCATGCCTGGCTAATTTTTTGTATTTTTAGCATAGAAAGGGTTTCTCCATGTTGGTCAGGCTGGATTTGAACTCTCAACCTCAGGTGACCCGCCCACTTTGGCCTCCCAAAGTGCTGGGGTTACAGGCTTGAGCCACTGCGCCCAGCCTGTTTTTATTTTTGCCCCATACACTCGTCTGCATCTTGCTTTGGTCCCTCGATGGCTTGGAGGTCTTTTGAAGGCAGGTCGTGTCCTGCTGACCTGTTTCTGTTAAAGGGTACTCGGTGTTCCCTGGCGTGAGTGGGCCATGGTTTGTGTGCTCATCCCCCGCTGGTGGGGACACAGGTTGCTTCTCATCTGAGGCTGTTTGTAGTGACACTGCCACGATTTCCCTCCTAGACACCCTCTTACCTATTGCTTGAAACATGCTGAGGGACGCACTGGCCGGGGTGGGGACAACTCCCAGAGGACTTCCTAGCTCACTCTGCGGTTTCCCCACGTGGTCATCCCATCCACCTCTTGCCATCCCAGATCCAGATGATGGAGGCGATGAAGACATGACCCCAAGCAGCCTGCTATACGAGTGGGAAGAGACTCCATCCCAGGCCATGGTGGCCGCTGCGGACAACTTAGTGAGGAGGCTGTGCCTGGCTCAGACAACCAGCTTGCAGGTAAGTGGCTTCTGCAGCCGCAGGCCAGAGTCTTTCCTGGCCCTGAGTTCCTAGGACACCTTCTTCCTGCCCACATCCTGGCCCTTCCTCTCAGTTATTTAGTATCCGGGAAGGCATGTACGGGTGAGTAGGCTGTGCACTGCCCAACTGTGCCTGGTTGCAGAAGGAAATCGGGATGGCGTGTGCCAAGCCAGTGTCCTACCCCAGGTTGGATGTGAGCAGAGGGGGGAAGCCTTTTCTCCTCTGTCTGTCTAGAAGCAAACAGCAGTCCTGTTGATTTACAATCTAACCTCCCAGGCGTAGTCACAGATGAGCCTCAGCACTGAGGATTTCCCACAACAAAGTTAGAAACACAGGCGTGATGGCTCACACCTGTAATCCCAGTACTTTGGGAGGTGGAGGTGGTGGATCACCTGAGGTCAGCCTGGCCAATGTGGTGAAACCCCATCTCTACTAAAAATACGAAAAATTAGCTGGGCCTGATGGCACATGCCTGTAATCCCAGCCACTGGGGAGGCTGAGGTAGGAGAATTGCTTGAGCCTGGGTGGCGGAGGTCGCAGTGAGCTGAGATTGCACCATTGCACTCCAGCCTGGGCAACAATAGTGAAGCTCTGTCTCAAAAAAAAAAAAAAGAAAAAGTTAGAAACACATGGCCAAGGCCTCCTCCGAAACTCCCAGCTGTTTCAAGTCAAGAGGTGGCTGTGGCTTTTTGAAACTTATGGCCAGTTCCTTCATCGGAGGTCATCAAGTGTCTGAGACCCTGAGGCTGTGCTCTGATGACGCGAGTTCTCCTCCCCACCTGGCTTGTTCTGAGAGAGAGCCTTGAACCCACATATAAGATGGAAAGCATGAGAGAGATGGTTTAACGTGGCACAGTCCCTGGGGAAGGAAATTGATGTGTCATTGGATTGAAGACTCATCCAGATAATCCAGGATGATCGTATCTCAAGATCCTTAACTTAATTAAATCTGCAAAGATCCTTTTTGTAAATAAGGGAAATTTACAAGTTCTAGGGCTTGGGACATGGGCATATCTTTTTGGGGGCCTCCTTTCAATGTCCTACAGTTATTTTTTTAAGACAGAGTCTCACTCTGTTGTTCAGGCTGGAGTATAGTGGTGCAGTCATGGCTCACTGCAGCCTTGACCTCCCGGGCTCAAGTGATCCTCCCATCTCAGCCTCCAGAGTAGCTGGGACTACAGGTACATGCCACCACACCTGGCTAATTCTTGTGCTTTTTGTAGAGTCGGGGTTTCGCCATGTTGCCCAGGCTGGTCTTGAACTTCTGGACACAAACAATCCTCCCACCTCAGCTTCCCAAGGTGTTGAGATTACAGGCGTGAGCCACCATGCTCTGCCAAGGCTTTACGGTTTTATTGGGCGCTTGGTGTATGCTCAGACAATCAGCTCCAGGGCCTCACCTGCATAATCTAATTTAATCATCTCAGTGAAAGTTATATCATTGTGTCCATTTTACAGGTGAGGAAACTGAAGCTTGAAGAGTGTAGGAAATGTGCTTAAAGCCACCTTGCTAGTAAGTGAGAGCTGGGCTGTTATCCTGGGCAGTCTGGCCCAGAGCAGGGTTTCTCACCCTGCGTGCTATGGACACCAAGGGCTGGGTTGTGCTTTGTGGGGTGTGAGAGGGAGGCTGTCACGTGCAATGTAGGATGTTTAGCAGCATCTCTGGCCTCTTCCCGCAAATGACAGCATCATCCCCACCTGCAGTCCATGACAACCAGATGTCCCTAGGGAGCACAGTTGTCCCCAGTAGGGGACCGCTGCTCTCCGGCCTGGGCTCTAACCATTGCACCACTGAACTTCATGGCTTGATGGGAAGGCAGGCCTGCATCCTTTGTCTGGCTCCAAAAGCACCCTGACCACTGCCTGGGCAGCTCCCCTGACAGGGGTGGCTCAGGGTACGGTGTGCTGTGGGCCTGGGTCTCCACATTTGGACCCTGATGGTGCTAGCCAGAGAGGGCACCGTGTGGCTGTCTGTCTTAGAGCACTGAAAAGGAAGTTACTGCCACTGGGGAGGTCCCCTGGGCTGAGGGGTGAAGTGCCGAGGACCCTGTTGTTGGAAATGGCTTTGCAGGGACCCGTCGGTGTATGCCAAGCAGCTCCTGGGAGGGCTGACAGCCTGCCTGGGTTGCCAAGGGGGATAGACCTCATGAGCGTCTGCTTGAAATGCCTTTGCCCCTCCCTATTGTTGGTGGCCAGGAGACAAGGTTTGTTTTTCAGTCTGGAAACAAAACCAAGACTCAGTGCACAATAGAAAGCAAACCCTCCGCTGGGGCCTCCGCAGAGGCCCTGAGTTTTCGAAGCTGGCAGCAGTGGGTGGGATGGCCAAGAGCTTCCCTAAGGAACAAAGGAGGAGGAAGCAAGGGGGCATTGCAGGTGGGAGGGGACAGACAGAGGGAGCCAGCGGGGCCACCTTCTGCGGGCTGCCAGGAAGGACGCCTGGGAGAGGGCGTGGCTCATCACCCGTCTTGCGTGTTGTGAGGACAGGGAGGTGAGTTAAAGGTGTGTTTACTAAGGGCTGACTCTGCAGTCAAGAGACAGCGTAGACAGTGGTGAGACAGGCCTGGCTTATAAGGGCGGGTGAGTAGATGGCGAGGTGTCCTGCAGGCGGGCGTTAAGCACTGCTGTTTCAAACGTTAAGTTGTGGCCGGGCGCGGTGGCTCATGCCTGAAATCCCAGCACTTAGGGAGGCTGAGGTGGGTAGATCACCTGAGATCAGGAGTTCAAGACCAGCCTGGCCAAGGTGGTAAAACCCGTCTCTACTAAAAATACAAAAATTAGCCGGGTGACTATAATCCCAGCTACTTCGGAGGCTGAGGCAGGAGAATTGCTTGAACCCAGGAGGTGGACATTGCAGCGAGCTGAGATCGCTCCACTACCCTCCAGCCTGAGCGACAAGAGTGAGACTCCATCTCAAAAAAAAATTAAGTTGTATTAACGTAGCTGACTAATGGGTACAAATACACACTTCCGTAGAAGAAATCAGACCCTGATACTTGATAGATTCTTAAGGTGACTGTAATTAATATTAATCCTACATTTAAAAATAGCTGGGGCTGGGTGTGATGGCTCACGGCTGTAATCCCAGTCCTTTGGGAAGCCAAGGTGGGCAGATCGCTTGAGGCCAGGAGTTTGAGACCAGACTGGCCAACATGGAGGAACCCCATCTCTACAAAAAATACAAAATGAGCCGGGCGTGGTGTCGCCTGCCTGTAATCCCAGCTATTTTGGAGGCTGAGGCAAGAGAATCGCTTGAACCAAGGAGGTGGGGGTTGCAGTGAGCTGAGATTGTGCCATTGCACTCGAGTCTGGGCAACAAGAACGAAACTCCAACTCAAAAAAAAAATGACTGGAAGAGAATAATTTGAATGTGTCTAGCGTAAAGAAAAGATAAATAGTTAAGGTGATAGATATCGTAATTATCCTGATTTAATTAGATGAATGTATCAAATTATTCCACGGGTACCCTGAAGATATGTGCATTTAATGTGTATCAATAAGTGAATAGGCTGGGCACCCTGGCTCATGCCTGTAATCTCAGCACTTTGGGAGGCTGAGGTGGGATGATCACTTGATCTCAGGGGTTTGAGACCAGCCTTGGTAACATAGGGAGAGCCCATTTCTACAAAAAACCAGCCAAACATGGTGGTATGTGCCTGTGGTCCTAGCTACTTGAGACGCTGGTGGGAGAATGGCTTGAGCCCGGGAGGTTGAGGCTACAGTGAGCTGTGATCACACCACTGCCCTCCAACCTCACTGACAGAGTGAGACTCTTCTCCAAAAAAAGAAAAGAAAAATTTAAAAAATAAAATAAAATGAATTATATTAGAAACAATGGTATGAAGTGCTCCAAACCACGACCACCTGGCTACTTTACCACAGTTTACTGTTGTCTTTGCATTGGAGGTTAGTCATGTTGATTGTAACTGTGTGGTGGAAATATGTGCTAAGGTTGCAGATTTCTTCGCAGGTCCGTCCTTAGCAATTGTATGTTGGTAGCTTGAAATTGACCACGATGGGTGTATTTACACCATGCGAATCGGCAAACGCTACAAATCAGGACTTTTTTTTTTTTAAGCCCTTGCCTGTCAGATGCTGGTTAAGACTGTGGGCTTAGGAGCTGGTGCCCTAGTTCAAGTCTCTACTCTGCCACTGAGTAGGATGTGCCTGCTGGCACCTGACTCAAACACTCTGATTATCACCTTCCTTCTCTGTCAGCTTGGACCAGTGCCTGGTACATAGCAAAGGCTCCTTACTAAGTAACTAGTGGCTTAGTAATTATTACTCTCTTTCTTTTTTTTTTAAACAGGGTCTTGCTCTGTCACTCAGGCTGGAGTGCAGTGGTGTGATCTTGGCTCATTGCAATCTCTGCCTCCTGGGTTGAAGTGATTCTCTTCTCAGCCTCTTGAACAGCTGGAATGACGCGCCTGTGCCACCACAGCTAGCTAATTTTTGTATATTTGGTAGAGACGAGGTTTCACCATGTTGCCAGGCTGGTCTCAAACTCCTAACCTCAGGTGATCTGCCTGCCTTGACCTCCCAAAGTGCTGGGCGTACAGGCGTGAGCCACTGCACCTAGCCTTATTATATCATTGTATGTTATTGGCGGTGATGGGGTGGCAGGTTTTTTACTGACCTAAATGTCTGTCTGTCTTTTTTTCCCCCCTTTTGAGATGGAATCTCTTTCTCTTGCTTAGACCGGAGTGCTGTGGTATGATCTCGGCTCACTGCAGCCTCCACCTCCTGGTTCAAGTGATTCTCTTGCCTCAGTCTCCTGAACAGCTGGGATTAAGGCATGCAACAGCATGCCTGGCTAATTTTTGTATTTTTAGTAGAGACAGGGTTTCACCATGTTGGCCAAGCTGGAATCGAACTCCTGACCTCAAGTAATCCACCCACCTTGGCCTCCCAAAGTGCTGGGACTCAGGCGTGAGCTGCCGTGCCTGGCCCCGGACTTGATTTCTGGGCAGAAGCCTTGAGCCCTTTGTCTCCATCCATAGCCTGCCTAGGTCTGCTCTCTTTTTTGCTTTTGAATTTCTTCTTCCACCAATGGAGGGAAAGCAGGATGAGCCACTCATGAGCCCTTCTCTTGTGCCTGGCTCTGAAAGGCCCATTCTCAGGGTAACAGTTGTGGCCAGAGGCTTGCCCAGAGCAGGAGGAGTGGTCCTGGGCAGGCACCATCTCCCGCTGCCCGTCAGCTGTTCTGAGCCCAGGGTGCCAAGGGCAGTCAGGGAAAGGCAGCCAGGGGCCAGAAAGACATGTAACCAAGCCCATTAGGAAGGAAGGAAGCAGGCCTGGAACTGAAATTTTTTTGGATAGCTGCTGCTCACTGGGCAAGAGAGTCTTTGAGGCCACCAGTGGTCAGGGCCAGACGTGATGGTGGCAGTCAGTCTGCAGCAGGGGCTGGCTTGTGGGTCCTGCTAGAAGAAGGAAAGGCGGAGGAGCTGAGGGTAGCCACTGGCTCTGCCCACACAAGGCATATTCCGGGAAGGCTGCCTGGATTCTGGCAGGCAGGCATGTTGGCAAGTGGGCCGAGTGACCAGTGAGGGCCTGTTTTGCAGTCTGCGTCTTGCTGAGATCAAGCTTCGTATGTGGGGATTCCGTCACCGTCACACACACAGCAGGGAAGCCAAGGGCCAGGGAAGCAGGTCCCAGCCTTGGAGGACCCCTGGTGGGTGAGGTCTACAGCCTGGCCCTGGACAAGCCTGGGGAAACACGGGGGGCTTCCCTGCAGGAAGCTGGGACTGACTTGGCTTGGCTCTTACCTTGTTGCTCCTTCTGTGGCTTTGGGTTTAGGTCAATGCGGTGAGCCTGAGTGAGACTACGGGGTACCAGGAGGGAAGTTTCCCAAACTAAACGTCTCCTAAACCCGGGGGCTGCTCTGAGTCCTTTATTTCTTGTGAATTTTGGGCCTTCTGCAGCCCCCATAATGCCCTTTATTAGCTGTCACTGTTAATAATTGTATAAAACAATTCCATTCTTTTTTCATTAGAAATATTGGAAAAGGCAGGGTACAGTGGCTCACGCCTGTAATCCCAGCACTTGGAGGGGCTGAGGTGGGAGGATCACTTGAGCCCAGGAGTTTGGGACCAGCCTCGGCAACGTAGTGAAACGTCATCGCTATGAGAAATGCAGAGAAATTAACAGCGTGTTGATGTGTGCCTGTATTCCCAGCTACACGGGAGGCTGAGGTGGGAGGATCGTTAGAGCACAGGTGCGTGAGGCTGCAGTGAGGAGTGACTGTGCTTCTGCCCTCCATCCTGGGAGACAGAGGGAGACCCTGTCAAAAAAAAAAAAAAAAAAAAAGTATATATATTATATAGGAAAATCTCGCCACTTCGATAAATATTTGAAATATACTAAGACTCATTAGAATAATTAGATTATAATCATAGTGAACATTCATTGGGCTTTTATTAGCTGCCACAGATTCTGACAATATGTCTATTGTTTCACTGCCATATCCTGAGTGCAGTGCAGCGCACATAGTAGGTGCTCAATAAATACCTGCTAAATTAAAGTGAACCAGCCTGTGTGCTTGTAGGGGCTGGGGGTGCAGTGGGGGAAAAGATGGACCTGGAGGCTCATTTCACTGGGTCTCAGGACACCTTGGGAAAAGGTGGCAGGTCCTCCCCACTTTCCCCACAGTTGTGCTCGCCAGCAGAGGACAGGTGAGGTGACCTTTGGGGATCCCCCACACTGCTGGGTGTCTCATGCTGCTCCCTCTGAATCCTAGGCTATGGACTTGTTCCTGACACTGGTGTCCCAGCTCCACGGCCTTTCTGGGGGTGAACTGATGGAACTCTGGCGACATTCTTCCTTCAAATGCCGAGACAACGGGTAAGGCCCCTCCCTGGGTAGCGGGTGCACCAGGAGTTGGCTGGGGGTGTCCCTGGCTTATGGGGAGTCTTATGCTGAGGGATGGATGCTGATGTCTTATCCCGTCCCCGAGACATGACACTGACTTGCCCTTCAGTCCAAGAACGTGCGCCAAGAAGGAGATTAAGTGGGGAGCCTGGAGGTTCCCACGGGGCCCAGGCTGGATCCTGCCTGGGACCAGAAGCTGAAGGGCCTGGTGCATAAAGACAGCCATTGTTCCCTTCCCCAGACAGGGACCCTCTTGCTGAAATTAGCATTCCAATGCGCCTAGGGTACCCTCCTGCAGGGGATGGATCAGAGAGTCAGGGCTGGGGGGTGCTGGGCAGGGCTGGGATTCCACCACCCAGTCCTTGCTGATCTGGGACCAGTAAGGGGGGTAATGAGACTCGCAGTCCGAGAGGGGAGTTTCTGAGGCACTAACTCCTATGCTAGGGAGTTGGAGACCAGCCTGGGCAACATAGCAATGACCCCGTCTCTACAAAAAATGAAAACATTAGCCAGGCGTGGTGGCGCACACCTGTGGTCCCAGCTCCTTGGGAGGCTGAAGTGGGAGGATCACTTGAGCCCAGGAGGTGGAGGCTGCAGCGAGCTGTGATTGCACCACTGCACTGCAGCCAGTGTGACAGAGTGAGACCCTGTCTCCTAAAC